AGAGACAAGGAGACAAATGGACCCAAGCTAGGGACCATGGAATATTTATTTAATATATATTTGATCCTTGATAACTTGCTTTGATTTTAATTCATTCGCGTTTAATCAAAAATACCGCAATCTGATTGGCTACGCTTGGTACATCCGGTTGAATTTGTTGAATAACTTACGTATCTTTGCCAAAGGGTGCTGTTTAACATTTCAAGAGTTAGCCTGTGAACACAGACATATTTCCAGGCAGATAGAAGCAACAAGAAATGCGTCTGCACTCGCTGGTTACACATGCGTTAGTTGCCTCGTAGACTACTGACTTACTTACCTGTTTGATAATGTGACTTGACTACATCAACAGGGATAACGAAGCTCAGCAGATCATACCTGTCAAACCCAATCCAGTCAAAGAGCACGTCATTAAAACCCATCCATCATTGAACAAATATCATGCAGAAGTGTAAAAGTTCTCAATACTGTTTGCTTAATTGTCGAGCCAGCAACACACTAGGCGATTGAACACGAAGATTGCGAAAGTATTTTATCGCCAGTGAAAATCGTAAACGAATTTTGCCACTTAAAAATTGCAATGGGTTTGAGATTTCTTCCTCACGTAAGTTTTTTTCCTCCTGTCTACATCAAGGGTATTTTCCGCGTTCCAAATTGAATAAAAAATATTTAAACTACAGCTAAATGCTGTAGCTAATTAACTTAGAGCGCACGTTGCAATTGCAAATTTGTAGAATATCGCGATAAAATGTTGCGTAATTTATTTGTATTAGTATCTACACTTGATTCAAGTAGTTTCCCAGTTTGTTAGTTTCGCTCTTTGGAGGCAGTAGTTCGTTCTTGCAAATGACAGTTCAACATCGCATCCAGTGCGGCCTTCTAGTTTTATTTTCGAGTTTCATTTCTTGTAACTTTCTGCTTTAGTTTTAACCCGAAGTTAAAATCGTTTAACCCGCCGTTAAACGGAGTCGCCAGTAGGGCAGGATATTAAATAATTTTTTTTTAAAGCGAGTTCAAATTTATCAGCTGGAGGTTTCCTTGATAAACTCTTTTGCTTCGCCACCTTCGAAATGCGCTCATCCCTTTATTCTGCGCATAACACCGCCCGAGAGCATTTTGTCCAATTTTTTTAAGCGCACACATAATATAGCCCGAAAATAAATGCGAAAAATAGTGAACAGTCACTAAGGAATTTTTTTTAAAATATTTTTTTCATACTCAATATATTGTACAAAGAAGAATTGGAATCCAAATTATCTTCGGCAGGGTAAGAAAGAAGGAAGGACAGAAGAGAGTGGGGGAGGGGGTGCTTGCCCTTTTTGTACAGAGAAAAAAGAAATGCTAAAGCCTAGCTCAAAACTGGCACACAGTCATTTCCATAATTTCTGGCTCTATATATAGGAATAAAATAAATAGAACAAACTTTTATTTGCATCACCTAACTGGTTCAATCACTGATCACAAACGTGTCACTTCTTTTTCCGTTCCACGACTTACGTTTGCAGAAAGTATTGTACGCAGAGTCATGAACAGGAATTTTTTTTCGAAATTGCTACAAAAGCGAAATGCAACATGATGTCCTCTGAAACTCCGTCAACAACTTTCGTGTATAATTCGTTTTGTGTCCTTTCCTAACGTTAATAAATTGCTTGCGTGGACCACGCAAAAATATTTTTTTTTCTCTAAATCACTTCTCAATAAGCGGAAAGGGCCGCATTTGCAGCAGTAACCCTTTACACCCTAACACTCAGTATTGGCATTCTCCATACTGTTTTTTATACATTTAACGAGAGAGGAAGAGTAAACTCCTTTATTGTGTGAAAAATTTGATATATAGAAACCAGCTTTTATTTCCAGTCTATCGGTCTAGAATCCTTCCAGTCTATACAACACACCGCGTAAATACAAACCATAATTGCAGACCGGAGTGTACATAGATAAATCCAGCTCCACAACGTGGAAAACAATTGCCTTTGCCTCGGCGTCATAACGAGGTTTGCAGAGATCCACCCAACACAAGGAAGTCAGTTTCTTGATTGATAGATCACTTGTATGATATTAGAGAGAAGATAAGATATAATGACTTTATCAGAGCAACTCCAGGAATGACTGTTTAAAACACTGACGTAAACACAAACTCTCCTCAATGGTCTTCGCACAGTTTATGTCATTGGTTAGAAGAATTTCATTGCAAATCACGATGAGCGGTATCTTTCGATGAGCCGCAATTTCAATGTCGGAGAGAAAGTGAGGTGTAATTAGTTGGTCAGTTGAAGCGTTAAAACATCCAGAACATTTTTCTCCGCCTTATTCCGGTAAAATCCAGCTAAAAGTCTTCATGGCGACTTCGTAACCAAGAAAAAGACCCTAGGCAAAGGAAAAAATTCAAGATAATCAAAAAATGCATTAAAAAATGATATTCGAAAGCAAAAATAATGAAACACGAAGTACACCTCCTCACACTAAATCGACCCTCTTTAGTCCTATAGACCGCTATTCGACTTAGTGTCGCAAAACCAAAGCCAAAGTGATCACAAAGGCCAATCCACTGAAAGGAAAAACCTTTAAGAGGCCGTGGGACCATAAAGTGAAAACAACCACAGGCGACCAGGTTTTAGTGCTTAATCTGATTGATTGATAAGGAGAGTGGGACTGAGAAACGATGATTACACAACTTGCAAAGCGGTCAATTCACGGGCCTGTAAGTAGTAAATAAATTCTTTATTTACTACTGTAGTTTTGCAAGTGTCACAATGCAAAGGCCTACCTAAAATCAAGCTGCAGAAATCAGCCGAGAAAAACAGCGATAAAATTAATAAGTAATTAATGATCCCGGCCTGTTTTTCGTTACAAAACGAAAGGCGTATTCGTATCCTTGAAAATAACCAGCCTGGCAGTTATTTCCTAACATTAAAGCCATGGCTTTCATTAATAACTCGTAATGCTCGTCTGCAATGGAGATATCCGCTGACAATTTCCAGTGAGATTGCTTTGCAAGTTGTGAAAACATCGTTTTGATTTCATTTAAGGAATTTATGGGAAGTAGCTTCCCCCTTCACGCTTTCGACACTTAATTGGAAATTGCTATAGTTATGACAGACACGAAAAAGTTACGCGCTTCTGTTGCCTGAAAACGAGTGCATTTTTCATGTAACACGAGCGCTGTCAACATTTTGTGTTTTGACAATCTGTTATGCTTTAAAACTTTAATCATTAGCAAGTAGTAACATAATTTCTCGTGCAATTTGATGAAAATGAACATTTGTAAATTTTTCAAAGACTACGGGCTCGTGCCATTTTGTTGTCTTGGAAAAATTTACTCGTGCTTAGTAACACCAAATTGCTCTCGAAATCTTTTCACTAATTCAACTAATAACCTAATCCACGTCAACACCCCTAAGACATCCTTGCTCCATAAATAGCGATAGTGAGGGACGTCATTCAAATATTTGCTGTCGCTAGAATTTGGCTCACCGCGTTTGCAGGGAAAGCTCGTAGTAAGACTGGAGTTACTCCTTTGAATAAACTCGCAACTCCTTCTTCCTTTACCTAAGAACAAAAGCAGATGCGTCATGAGGTAAGCGAAATACAAGTGTACATACTACAGTTGTTCATAAAGACGTGCGTTCCTCCAAACACGAGCTGCTAGCTCGAGCGTCAGTTTTCTCACCAACAGCACACCCAATCACATTCACCTTGAATCAACTAAGTAATTGTGGGAAAGGCAAAGCAATACTTGCATCTCACCAAATGTATCTATGTGGAGAGCCTATTTGCCATCGTGTTAGCTGTGCCTTGCTGATAGTAGCCTGTAAGCTGGCTCTTATTATTAGCACTGCAGGGCGTGCGTTGTTCCGCCGCGGGAAGATTTCAGACGGGTCGGGAAGAAGTTTACTGGGGGTATGGCACAAACCCTTGTCCTGTTTAATATATCACTGGTGCACTTCGCTACCCTTTTGGCAACAAAAATCGTTACATCCTGTAGCAAATTGACCTCACGAGCCATGTCTCGTTCGAATATTCGTGGATGAAAAAGGAAAAATATTAATACCGCACATAAAGGCCATGGATAGCCTCCACTCACACCCTCACCGAAACTTTCGGTGCGAAGGAACCACCTGATTAGGACTCTAAAGGGTGAAATTTTACGCCCTGTTTAAGATTTAAGACTGCAAAAATCATAACCTTCTTTTATTGACTCAAACTTGTCCAGGCCAAAAAAGGAAGTGCCTCATTCCCACCCCCAACAGAGCCTACAAAAGATCACAGAGAAGGGTTGAG